ACCTTATATATTTCCCATGTCATGTCGGACGGGTACCAACTAAATAATTTGTTGTTGAACATTGACTCTTTGTGAATTTCCCGACCCGTCCATTAAAACCTTTGGTCGAGCGCCACGGCGATCTTAAAACTGTTTATGTGTCGCCTTGTTTAAGATAAGGTGAAGGTTATATAGCTCTGTGGAGGCACGTTGTGTGTTTGCATTCGCGAACGTCTTCTACTTGGAGTACAAATTGTTTTTGCGCTGATCAGGGGGTACATGGCTGAATTTTTTTCCCGAAGGTGATACATTATTTAAAAAAGTTTGAGAACCACTGGTCTATACCATACATTTTGTATTTTTCAGTGTGTCAGTAGCTAAATAACATTTGGCTTGGAAACTAATGAAAGCAAGTCATAGAAATATGTATACTAATATTGCCAAAGGATATGTAAGCTTCCTTTTTAAAATGTGTGTTTATACTAAAAGTATGTAGAACATTTTCTGCATAACATATTATAACATAACATAACATATTCCTTGCTACCAGTTTAATGCAAGAAGCGGGTTATCTCAGGAACCCTGACTTCCTGCTCAGCCTGAAGCTCTCTGTCTGTCCTCCAGAAACATCCCTTCATTCTGATGTACGAAGAGCGCTTTGTGGACGTCGCCAGTTACGTATGTCGCATCCTGGATCAGTTGCCCCCCTCTCCCCTCTCCGCCATGTTTGTGGACTGATGGAGGGAACAACGGAGGAACTGAGTCTCACCGCCTGAAGCTCAAACATCTTCACTCGTCTGCAGCTGGGAAAAATTTGATGCATCTTTTTATGAAGGGAAACCAGAATAAAGCGCGTGTGTGAATGTACAAAGTATGCAATCTGTGAGACATGTACATTCATCAAACCTAATGTCAGCCGCAGTATGCATCATTGTCACGTTTCAGTTAGAGCTCAGCTGAAATCCTTTACCAAGATGATCATTACACTTTTCTGTGTTTTTAGTTATTAACAGAATTGCAGCTTCTGTCCTTCAGTCCGATAGATCATCCGATATTTTGTCTAATGCTCAGTAAAAAAACACTGATCTTCTTTCTTGTCTGCTGATTAAAAATTATTGAAAAAAAAGAATTCTGGTTAGGAAAACTGCAGTAAGTGTTGAAAGTGAAGGACCATCAGATCCAACCCTGTGTTCTTCAGAGATGGTCGGGGTTTCCCTCTCAGAGGAACCAAGGCTCACAGTGCTCCATGTCCGATGGACCGTTCCTTCCTCATGTACACTGATGGAAATAGAGCATTTCAATGTGCTGATCTGAGGTGCACATGTGCGTGTGCACACCGGCGTGTGTGTTTCAGCCTGACACCACACAGTAAACCTCATCCCCACTGATCACAGATCACACCCTACTGCCAGACAGAGGCCTTGTCAGAGAGATGACAGACAGAAATGCTGCTAAACGACTTAATGCCCACAGCAGAGGAGGCATGTGACTGCACTGATCACACTGTTTCCCATAGCAAAGCAGGAAGCTTAATGTGAAGACACTCAAATTATTAACAATGCTACTTTTGCTTTATTCTCCCACTGTACGCTTTATTACTTTACATTACTAGGATTGCCGTACTTAAAGGGCCCCTGCGGCCGTTGTAGTGTTGTATTTTCATGAAGTTGGGAGTCCTGCAGAAGACTGATTTAAGAAAGAATGGCTTGGGGCTGAGATGTCCTGATCTTCAATACTTTTTATGAAGTGAGCTTCAAAACGAAAACGAAAAGCCCTGATGTCGTCATCTTCCAAAGCCACAGCAGCAGTGATGACCAGCTGATGATCTGACTACATTTGTGTCAAATTGGTTGACTTAGACATACAGATGTCTGCCATGCCATGTTGGAGACGGGCCCTTCTCTCGGGATGAGTCTGGAGTTCAGTGTTCTCTCGTTTATAACTCACTTTGAGTATTTTAGTCTTTTTAGCAGAAAAAGAGAAACACCACCATGTGGAGCATGGCGAACATCTGTCTCCTCTCAAGGGACACATCTCCGGGAGGCACATTTATCAATGGAGTTTATCAACCTCCAGGATACTGGTTGTATAAATTGCTATTGAATAGAATGTTCATATTACATTAGAAGATTTAGGTAATTGAATATAATATTGTATCTTTATCAAGGGTTACAAATAAAGTTCCCATGGAAAGTATTGAAAAATATTGGAAACCTTTATTGTGTGCTTCTTGTGAATTAGACACAAATAAAAAAGATGACTTGTGAAAAGTGTATTGCTCTTTCTGAAGGATACAGGAATGCTGGCAAATACAGTTTTTTTTTGTTTTTACAAAAGTAAAGCAAGTCAGTGGCCAAGCAACATGGAAGCTTCTGTCCTGAAAAAAATGAAATAAAAAAGCCAGCAGATATTTTCACAACCGGAGACAGGAAGTAGAGAATATTTGCTTTTCTCAAATATTTAAGATGGCCATTCAAAGCCTACATGTGACCACAGAACGCATTTAGCAGGTGCAGCACTTCACAATGCCAGGATAAGGACCAGAACACACGAGACCCATGTTAACAGACATCGTATTGTTCAATGCGCTTTCAGCATGCTTGGCATTCTGGAAAGTACATGTGTCTGCTCTTCTGGGAGTTGGATGAGATGTCTTTAAGTTGTATATGAAGCAAAGACAATTCAACAGAACTCAATAGCATACAGGTGCTGTGTAATGTAACTACTGTGTGTCAATATGCAGTATTCACAGTAAAGATCTAAATATATTACATTTTTACTATTCACAAGGGCTAATGATGGACATGTCAACTTCATAGGATTCCTTTAAGAAAGCATGGCTTTTGGATGTGCCTCCTACACTTTGCATAACATTGAATTACTAAGAAATGTCCTTGGGCAGAATGTCATCACTGGAACATCCCCATAAAATCAAAAAGAACCAATCTTCAAAGGAATGTCAGTATAAATACAGGATAACGTATAAATATCAAAACAAAAAATAAACAACTGGCCTGGGAATAGAAAGGGTGACATTTGTGAGGATAAATACAGATTACATATTTTTCATTTGTCTGAAAAACTGGTATTGACTTTTGTTGGAGCATATTAATATCTGTCGACAGCTTTCATCGAATAACCAATTAATAATACTTTAAAAAGGGGAAACGTGTATAAAATTCTTATAAAAAGTTGTTGCAAACAAGGCACAGTTTGTCTATGAATATCGATAAGACCCAAGGTTTTTCAAAGACATTCATTTCTCTCCATATTCTGTGAATAAATACAGCTAATAGTGAGAAAGCTTATTAAAATAAGATTGTTCAAAGGAATGGCGAGCATCTCTACCCATGTATTGGAAGCTCGAGTAAACGGACTAAGATGTGTTCAGCTGGAGGTGGGCAGAGAAATCATTTCGTCATATTTACATCCTTGGATGGACTCATTACATAATACATTGTGTCCCTCGCACTGACAAAATACACAGACGTCAGCTTGTCTCTGTCAGTACGGATAGTTATATATTTACATAATCCATCTAATTCCCCTTGTAATTTTTTTTGATTTCTTTTCCAGTAATACAAACAGACATAAATTATAAAATATACATTGTTCTTCAAAATGTGTCTTCAAGTCTAGGTG